ATGGTCTCTGCTATCTATGTCTATTCAGCCCTTCCCCGTGTCTTTCAATATTTATTAAAGGATCTTTTTGACAGCTTCACCCCACACTGATCTCTCCTTTCTCCAGTTCCTTTGGAATATATCTTCTATATCAAAAAATTTTAGTATTAATTTGTAACTTTTGTTGTTCACAAATCAGTTTGTGTGTACGTGTGTGTGCCCGTGTGTTTTGAATCTCCATAATGATTCTAAGTTCCTTGTGGGCACAAGCTATTTCTTGCAGTTGTTTTGTTTTCCCTTAGTGCCAATTACAATGTCAGGCACAAAATAAGGACTCCATTAAGTACTTGGTGGTTGATACTTAAGAGGATCAAAGAGAAGTGTCAGCCAGAAGTTATATATGTGTTAACTTCTGGTAAATATAGTAGCAAAAAATTTCTCTTCCTCTGCTTCTCTGCTTTGTATTACAGAAAGCAGTAACTGAATTGTTCTCGAAAAGAGGTGGTGAAGTCAGTACTTATAAGAGGGAACATTAGGTGCTGTTGCAAATACATATTGACATAGCTTTTGCTGGCCGCAGGAGACTGAGCTCATCTACCTTTTAGCCCTGTTATGGCAGATGAGAAAATAAAAGGTACAGAAAATAGAGATGTTTGATTTTCTAAGTTGCCTCAAGTTACCATTTTAAAAAACGCCTGCAAGCATTTCTAAAACAGGATCCTGGTAGCTGGTTGCCAAACCGGTTTAACAGCACTGCCTCCACATATTCTGGGTGAGAGGGACCTCCGAGTACATAAACTTATCAGAGATCCCTATCCCAGTCATTTCAGAACAAGTTGTTTAGTAATGTACTGTAGTTTCTGTGCAAACCATCTACCATAAACCACGAAGTGATTCAAGGTTCAGAGTTCCTTCTTTGTTCCTTTGTTAATCACTGACTTCTGACTAGTGGGAGGTGCCTCCCAAATTTGCTAATGCATTCTTTTTGGATAAGGATGACGCACAGATTGTCCTAATAAGGACTTAGATTGAGAAAGGACCGCCCCCCTCTGAGAAGATGGGACAAGTCAGAGAGAGGGCGGGCAGTTTCTTTTTCAACTAGGGATGACACAAGCATAAGTCATTTCCTTATTAATCGGTTCAAACCAGTTCTTACAGGAACTGGTGGTGATAAATGTGGGACTTCTCAGAAGTCATTCATTTTATTCTTTGTGCCACAACAGCGTGCGGCATCAGCCTAGCTGGTCTCACTCTGAGGATGAACTCTTGTGCCAGAAGGGGCTCAGCTCCTAGTTTCTCTCCTGAGTTGGTGGAAGAGATTTTTCTCCTAGAAGGGGTTATTAAAGGATGAGTGTATCCACTGAAAAGAGTTCAGAGGATTTTGCCAGTTGTGCTGATTGTTGTATTTTTTTTCCTCTTTCTGTCCAATCCCTGCTTTTTGAGTCCAGGTGGTAAGTGGATTTTTCTTTCACATTTTTCTTGCTTTTCTTCCCAAATGTATCTTTTTCCTTGGGTTATCGTACCCTGCTTCCAGTGCTGTCCCCGGCATAGGTCCATCTCTGCAGAAGCCATTTCAGGAATATCTGGAGGCCCAGCGGCAGAAGCTTCACCACAGAAGTGAGATGGGCACACCGCAGGTGAGACTTTGCTCTGTTTTCCTCTCTTCTGCCACCCCCCTCCCCCCAGTCTCAGGCTGAAATTATACTCCCAGCACTCACTGGCATTTTGAGGCAAATAGAGTAGTTTGTCTGTCAGTCTTCAGTAACTGAAGTGGAGGCTCTGTTTACTCTCTACTGGGACACTGGCTTTGACTAAATCAGAAATGTAATTTCCGTTTGTATCTGTCTTCTCCAAAAAAAAAACAAAGGGAAGGCTAATGGCAAATGATGTGTTATGTAGAATGAGTTGTTGCCTTGATCTTAAATGATTTATTACCAAATCTACTTCCCAAGTGGATTAAAAAGTTAAAATTTGTAGCATTTCATAGCATAACAAAGTATGTGACTAACGGCAGTCACTTGACTATGTCCTTCATTTTTGCCCTACTTTTTTAAGAGATGGGAAAATAATCTTTCTTTTTTTAAAAAAGGCTCTTCGCATAGCTGAACTTAAAAACTTTAACTTAAACTAAGGCTGCCTTTTCTGTAAACAGTTCTGTGGCAAAGGGAAATGACTAGAAGAGGATGGGTAAGCAGTAACCTGAAATGGGAAACTTGAAGGAAGCATAGTTGTTGAATCGCCCCCCCCCCCCCCCCGTCTGCCTTACACTCTGTGTGGCCCTTTGCCGCCCTCAGTTGACCAAACATGACTTCAGAAATAGATGACATATTTTAAAAGCTGCTCCCAGTGCTGGAACGAACGACATGTAACTATCTGGACACTGCTCTCCACAAGTATCTACATGGCAACTTCAGAGAGCAGAATTGAATCAAAAATTTTATTATGTAGTAAAAAAGGCGACCTCACACTGACCCATTCTAAACTGTGTGAATCAACATTGACTTTACATCTGACAAAGTGAAATCTTAATAATTGGGTGTCAGAAGGCCTGAATATAGACTTTCAGGGTATCTAGAGACACGGGACTTCTCATTTTCATTGTTTAGACTTTATAGCTTATAAGCCCCAAATTCTCATCATTTTTCTTAAATATTGTAAATGATCCCCTTTTTACTGCTGAACTAATGAAGCATTTCTCGTGGGTTGTTCTGCATTTATTCTTACAGGGAGAAAACTGGTTGTCCTGGATGTTTGAGAAGTTGGTCGTTGTAATGGTGTGTTACTTCATCCTGTCCATCATTAACTCCATGGCACAAAGTTATGCCAAACGAATCCAGCAGCGGTTGAACTCAGAGGAGAAAACCAAATAAGCAGAAAAAGGTTCTAATGGCAGAAATGAGAAATGAGTTCTGCCTTAAATTGGGAGGACTCCAAACCAGGAAGGAAAATACCCTTTTCCACCCTATATCAATTTAAAAAAAAAAATGTTTTGTTTTGTTTTGTTTTGTTTTCTGAAAACAGTTTAGTCCATATTTTGCACTGACACACTTTTCCTTTGTGTGTTAAGGTAAGGTATCCACCCTCAATTCAATCCAGCTTGTGTTTTATTCAGGTGGAATGTGATGTTCAGCAGCGAACTTAACAGAAACCGGGCTTTTCTTTGTTACTTTCAGAAGGCCCACGTGGTACAATTAAAGAATTCCGGACACCAAAAACTAGTTCCTAACTATGTTGAGTATGTCAAGCCTTTTAGGCTTGTCAGAAATGACTCCTTTGTTTTTCTAAGTCATTAAAGTGTGTATAAATTATACTAGATTGGATAACGGTCTTGCATGTCTATCATGGTAAAATTTATTTAATCCTGCCCAACCCTTCCTCTCCTACCTTAAAAAAAAGGCCATCTTATGATGCATTGCACACCCTCTTGGGAAACTGATCTTTAAATTTTGAGACAGTATAAGAAAATTCTGATTGGTGTCTCACGAATGAGCTGACACCATTTTTTATTCTGTATATTTAGAATGAAGTCATGAACAAACTTTATAAAGACATCTTTGATCATTCCAAAATTGTGTCCGTTTTCTTGAGCGTTTTGATTTTTTGCTTCCCTTTAGCTACTTCCAACTAATGGTCGACTTTGCTAGATCTACCTACAACCATAATTTCTTCAACCGTTGTTTATTTACGTGTAGGAGCCACCACCGAGGCACTTTCTTGTTAACCTGGAATTGGGGCAGCTTGCAAAACGTTGATGAAATGGCTCCCTAGGGATTGACATAGCGAGGGGTTCGTGAAAACAGGAGAAATGAAAGTATACAAATTAAAGGGCACTGGAGAGAGAAATAACTCATTTTTTCAAAAAACCACACTTTCTCCTGTCTGTTCGTTTTAGCTCAGCATGTTCTCTGTTTCTGACAAAAATTTACTTTTAGAATGTAACCTGATTTTCTTTCCTTTCTTCAGTGAGTGTTATGTTCTTTTGGGATGTTTCCAGTTGAACTTGGTTGTTTCGTTTTGCCTGGGAGGAAAATAAACAATTTCACTTTTTTTCTTTAGGAAAATCTTTTCTGACATTATGTTAAAAGTAGAATCGGGTTTAAATCGCAACAGGCCAGAAATGCCTGATTGTTTTATCAAATCCTGCCTGAATGTCTACTTAGTTTGCCTACCGTCGTGACATCTCCATGGCTGTACCACCTTGTCGGGTAGCTTATCAGACTGATGTTGACTGTTGAATCTCATGGCAACAGCAGTCGATGGGCTGTCTGACATTCTGGTATCTCTCATCTGACCATCCATATCAAATATTCCCATTTAAACATGACCTAGCCTCATGGTTTATGACAAAAAAAAACTCTTGTCCTTAAGTCTAGTGGCACTTTGAATCTTTTATGCCATGATATTGCAGCAGTATCGAGAAGATTTTATGGAAAATTGGGATGGTCTCCATGACCACAGCTAAATAAAAGACAAACAACCTGCCTTGTGGGTTTTGAAAAGGTTATTATTCTTAACAATCTTTTTTTTTTCTGCCCAGGGACCTTGTGGTAATGTGATTGTTCCTTTATTTGCAAAGCGGTACCCAGGTTTTATGTTAATAGATTCACATTAACCAACAAAATTTTTTAGATTTTTTAGGGTTAGCATAAACTTCTAAGTCAGCTTCCAATTGTGTGTCATCTCTTTCACCTGCATTTTATTTGGTGTTTGAAGAAAGGAAAGAGGAAACCCCGTATGAATTATACTATATGTGCTAAATCTTCCAGGTTTATTGGTAAACTTATTTCAGGGTACAGTGTTTAGAAAAAAAGAAACATTTCTTAGACTGAGGAGCTAAGTAATACATTTGACTTATTATGATAATGGTTTGTTCACTCTTTCAAATGAATTTGCCTTGAAAACAAACGAAAAACAGCTGTCCCCCTTTCCTCCACAAAGCGTTCAGGTGGGACATGCTCAGATGATCCTGCTGGATTTCCAGCTGGCACAGAACGTTACCCTTCTGTTCCAGTGGTTCGTTTGTCCCTTTCTTGTATCCACCAAAGTGAACACAAACAACTACATGATCCCCAAAACAAACCTAGTTGATTCCAGTTGGTGGGAGACCAGAAAATTTGTGAGTGGGTGGTTTGATATTACTGCACATTTAAAAAAAGCAGGGGGGGGGTGTGCCTGGGAATTCTAATTCCATCTAATTTAAGTGTCATTTTGTGCCTTACATTTCTGTGGTACTTTATCTTGTCTCAACTCCATGACTGTCAAAATAATACAGTACGATATAATGCAATACATCCTCAGTTTATACACTTATGTGCTGAGGAACACCTCCCTAAAAACAGTAATGTGGGAAACGTGTAGTGTTTGACAGAAAGAGAGATTTGGATGATGGCCACTCTCCTCATCTTCTAAAAATCAGAAAAAGGTACGGCTGGAGTGCAGTTTCTGAAATACACTAGTTCAGCAGATGCAGTAAGTAGGAAGTGCTCCCTGTGAACAACCTCTGCCTGTGTTTCCGCTGTGCTCTCTGCTGGCTGTAGCTGTAGTAGGACTGCCGAGAGGCTGGTCTTCACTTTCACTACTCAGCAGTGATTCTTTTGAGGACAATTAATGCATTATGCTAATTAGAATGACGTGTTGTCCTCTTGTGCCCTGGGTGAATTGTGTTTTGACTGACCCATGTGTAAAGAGCTCAGAGGAGTTCCCAGCCTTTTACAGTCAAAAAGCCGTTCCATAGATTTTGAAACCCACTCGCCTCCATGTGCAACGGTCTATGTTACTGATGGCTTATCGTTCTGCCTCTAACATGCGACTTTGAGAAAGTCTTAAACTTGGAGCCTCGATTTCATCTATAGGAATGGAAATAGGTTGTTGTAATGATTAAATTGGATAAAATGTAAAGTACTACCATAATTGTTGGCGTGTTCTCAGTTTTTAACTTGTCAAAGACCGCATTTGATACACATGCAAAAATTTTACATTGCGTTTACTCGGAAAACATGTTTTTATTTGGTAGGCTCCACTCCCAACGTGGGGCTTGAACTTACAACCCCAAGATCAAGTGTTGCATGCTCTGTAGACTGAGCCAGACATGGGCCCCAATATATGCGTTTTAAATACTGTCTGCAGGTATGCCCTTGTTTTGATGTAAACCTGCTCTTTCTAAAGAAGTTAAACCCAAATATAAGTTAATAAAGAGAAAGGCAGAAATTAAGGAACCAATTGACTTGATAAAACCAAAACCTTGTTAAATCTAAAATTAACCCCCCAGTGAGGCAACAAAGTACAAAGCACAGATACACAAAATTTACTATAATTGAAAATACTTTTCTAACCTTACATCCTTAAAATATTGACATTTTCCTAGTTTAGTTTTTATAAAATACTCAAGGGGCGCCTGGGTGGCTCAGTCGATCAGGCTTCCAACTCTTGGCGTCAGTTCAGGTCATGATCTCACAGTTTGTGAGTTGGAGCCCCATGTCGGGCTCTGTGCTGACATCGCATAGCATGCTTGGGACTCTCTCCTAAAATAAATATAAATAAACTTAAAAAAATAAAATACTAAGGGGTGCCTGGGTGGTTCAGTTGGTTGAGTGTCTGCCTTCAGCTCAGGTCATAATCTCACGGTTCATGAGTTTGAGGCCCTTGTCCGGCTCTGCTGACAGCTTGGAACCTGGAGCCTGCTTCAAATTCTGTCTCCCTCTCTCTGCCCCTCACCCGCTCACACTCTGTCTCTCTCTCAAAAGTAAATAAACATGTATGTATATGTGTGCGTGTGTGTGTGTGTGTGTGTGTATGCGTACATACACACACTAAGGGGTGGCTCAGTCAAGTCGGTGGCTGAGTCCGACTTCGGCTCAGGTCGTGATCTCACAGTTCATGAGTTTGAGCCCCACATCGGGTTCTGTGCTGACAGTGCAGAGCCTGGGGTCTGCTTCAGATACTTTGTCTCTCTCTGCCCCTCCCGTGCTTGCTCGCTCTCTCAAAAATAAACATTAAAAAATAAAATACTAAAAGAAATCTAGAAGGTAGAGAAAAAAGAATATCTGCTTTTTTTTTCTTTACATTTTTTTAATGTTTATTTTTGAGAGTGAGACAGAGTGTGAGTGGGGGAGGAGCCGAGAGAGAGGGGGCGAAGAATCTGAAGCAGGCTCGAGACTCCGAGCTGTCAGAGCCTGATGTGGGGCTTGAACTCACAAACCATGAGATCATGCCCTGAGCCGAAGTCAGAAGCTTAACCAACTGAGCCGCCCAGGTTCCATCTAGAATATTCAGTGAGGTGAGCACTGGGTGTTGTATGGAAACCAATTTGGCAATAAATTTCATATATTTAATAAATAAAAATAGAATATTCAGTGAGGTTTGCTGGGTATAGGGAAAACAGTTTAAAAAGTTGGCATGTGGGACCTTCCTCAATAGACCTAAAAGTCTCATTTTTGTTAGAAAACAAAAGGATATTGGTTTGTTTTATTCGTAAATAGTTATTAATGTGCTCACAAAAAGTTAAATCAACCTAAGCAGGAATTTTTTTTTTTAAGTAGGCTCCACACCCAATGTGGCGCTCGAACTCGAAACCCCGAGATCAAGAGTCGCTTGCCCTACTGACTGAGCCAGCCAGGTGCCCCTAATCAGGAGTTCAATAGCCATTTTTGAAAGCCAAGTAGCATTCCATTTCTAACTGACAATGATCAAAACTTGGATATTCATAAAACATGGTAAATGAAATGCTAAGCAAAAAACTTGCATCTGAAGTGTTTGTTCCTTTATTCTCAAAGACAACAAGAAAAGAAAGCACATGAAGTACTTGAACATTCTAAAAGTGATTGAGTCATTTGTGTCTGGTGGTTGAGGCTTCGGTTGCTGCCCTTCCCAACAAGGCCAGGAGTTCACCTGAGGTAGTACGTTTGCCTTGGGGGTGAGGCCTTGAATTGCAGCAAATAACATACATGTATTTGCATATTCAACCAGTACTCATAAAAGGGATTATAATGAAAACCTGTTCTGGACAGCAGCTTACTCATTGCCTTTAGAATTGCGTGGTGCTGGGATAGGCAGGTGCCAGCTGTTTGCTCATTTGACCTACTAGCCTTGCACAGTTTGCTGTGTGGATGTTGATACTACTAAATTAAAAGAAATTTATTTTAGATGGCCCCCGCTCTCCACCCAAACACCCTGGATTCATTTGAGATCTGGGATTCTAATTCTGTAGTTGGGAGACTGGCCCAAACTGTGGCCCAGTGTGAGTCAGTTGTAAGTGGCTGGCTGACTCTATGGGAACAGGAATGAGATGCAGCTTAGACGGTTTGTCAGCCAAATCCACAAATGTGTGGCTTTTTGAAACATTGGACATCTGTTCCTTTTAATTTAAAATAAACTTTTTTAAAAAGCACAAAGTTGCTTGGCTCCTTGTTTCTTTGTGTCAGCAGCAGTTGGTGCTCTAACCTAGGAAGCCTAGAATCGGAGAAAATTTGGAATCTTGAGAGCACACTTCAGAGAGAGTGGAAGGGAGTTGCTTCAGGAGGGGAGGAGATGATTTTACTGGATAGAGTCTGGAAATCCCCTTCAGGGGTAA